CCCTATTTCCTTGTGTAACGTCTCTTATCGCATTATTGCGAAGGTTATGACTAATCGATTGAAAGGGATTATTAGATCCCTTATCAGTGAATCCCAAAGTGCTTTTATTGCATGTCATCATATCACGGATAATATTCTTATTACTTATGAGATGTTGCATTATTTGAAGAATAAATGGAAGGGGCGCAATGCTTTTTTTGGCGCTGAAGTTGGATATGAGTAAAGCTTATGATCAGGTTGAAAGGGATTTTCTTTTCCAAATGTTACATCATTTGGGTCTAAATTCCCGGTGGATTAAGAAGATTTCTGCCTGTGTTTCCACTGTTTCGTACTCGTTGAAATTTAATGGGGCTTCTGTTGGATTTTTTCATCATTCTCGGGGATTACGTCAGGGTGATCCACTTTCTCCGTATCTGTTTATTTTATGTGTTGAGGCCCTCTCTTTGTCTCTTTTACGGGCTCAACAAGCATGTTTGTTGTCTGGGGTGAAAATTTGCAAGGCTGTTCCTTCCGTTTCTCATCTGTTCTTTGCCGATGATTCTATTATTTTTTATACTGCTAATGAATCTGAAGTCCAGTTCTTAAAATGTATTTTGGTTGATTATGAACGGGCATCGGGCCAGCAAGTTAATTTTGATAAATCATTGGTTTTTTTTCTCTAAGAACACTTCTCCTGATAAGCGTTGTTTCTTAAGTGAGTTATTGGGTCTGACGGTGGAAGGATTGTAGGCTCGTTATTTAGATGTGCCGACTATTGTGGGCTGGTCTAAGCGGGATGTTTTTTAATTTTAGTTGGATCAGTTGCATGACCGTTTATCTTCCTGGAAGGCGAAAACGTTATTTAGCGGCGGAAAAGAGGTGTTGATTAAGGCGGTACTGAGTGCTTTGCCTACATATGTTATGTCATTTTTTCGGCTTCCTCGGATGTTGTGTCTTGAACTAATGAAACATATTCTCTCATTCTGGTAGTGCAATAAAGGCAAGTCGCGTTCCATTCACTGGGTTCACTGGGATTTGCTATGTCGGAGTAAGAAATTGGGGGGGCTTGGCTTTCGTGATCTTGAGGCGTTCAATTTAGCGCTTTTGATCAAGCATGCTTGAAATTTTTAGTTGCGTCAACATGGTTTGGCTTTTGAGCTTCTCAAGGCCAAGTATTTTCCTAATTCTTCATTTATGGATGCTCGGCTGGGGTATAATCCGTCTTGGGGTTGGCGTAGTATTTGGTCCACTCAGCCCATTTTGCGTCGAGGTTTGCGTTGGCTTATGGGCAATGGGAAAATAATTCGTATCTGGCAGGATTATTGGGTGCCTGATTTTCTGGATTTGCTTCCACGACCCATGGGTGTGGTGCCCTTTCGATTAGTGGAGGATTTGTTTTATCCACACTCAGGGGCCTGGAAGCTGGATGTGTTACGTCAGTTATTTTCTCCGTTGATTGTTCAGAAAATTTTACGATTGCATATTAGTCGTTGGAATATACCGGATACTCTAATTTGGGCAGCTAAGCGGCATGGGGGTTTTTCTGTTCGCTCTGCTTATGTCTTGCGCGGTCTTTTTCCAATCCGTCCATGGCTTCCTTGAACAATTTTTCTTGGCGGTCGGTTTGGCAATGTAATACTCTTTCCAAGATTTAGCATTTTTTATGGCGGTGTTGTTTTAATACCTTGCCTAGTGGTGTATCGCTATTGTTATGGGGTTGTGTGGTTTCTCCTCTGTGTCCTCGGTGTGGGGTAGAGGAGGAATCGCTCGTTCATCTTTTGTTCTCGTGTTCTCATTCAGTTCAAGTTTGGAAGCTCTCCCCTTTTCATCTGGATTTTGCCACTGTGTCGTTTCATTCTGTTTTTAGATGGCTGGCACTTTTTGATGTTACGGGCTACTTCGTTACCAGATCAATCCCTAGCTATGGGGTTGATGTCTTTTTGTGTGTGGTATATTTGGAAATCCCATAATCATAGAGTTTTTGATGGTGTGTTATGAGGTCCGAAGAAGGTGGTGGCTAAAGTAGTTGCCAATTTTTGGGAGTTTAAAGAAGCTAGGTCCCAATGTACTCTCTTGGCTGCTTCTGTTCCTTCTTTTTCCGCTAGGTCTTGGGTTTCGCCGGGATGGTTAATTGTAACATTGATGCTAGTTTTTTTCCACAGTCTTTCTGTGGTAGTGGAGGTGCTGTGTTTCGTGACTTTCGTGGAGTTATTCTTCATGCGGTTATTTTTCGACCTTTCATTGCTTCTTTGGCTTTGATGGCTGAAGCGATTGCTTGTCTTAGAGCTGTCTTTTGGGCTTCTTCATTTGGGTTGTGATGTTTATGTTTTGAATTCGACGCTAAAGGTCTGGTTGAGGCGGTGCAAAAGGTCTGGTTGAGGCGGTGCAAAAGGGTTCAGTTTGCCCTTCAGAGATTGTTTCGGTTTGCTTTGATATTAGAATGGCCCTTCAGTCTTTTGTTGTTGCTTCCTTGGTGCATGTTCATCGTTCGGGTAATCGGGTGGCTCATGCAATTGCACTAATGTCTAGGCTTGTTTCCCTGTTGATTATGAGCTGCTTCTGATTCCGCCTCCACTTTCGGATTTGGCTCGTTAGGATGCAATGGGTTTGCTTTCCTAGTGTTTTGTTTGTTGCTTTTGTCTTGTTGTGTTCTTTGGGTGTTGTTCTTTGAAAAAAAAAAAATATCCCGTCTCAACTCAATCATTGATGTCAACTTCTTTTTCTGTGATGCCAAACATACCACTAGAAAAAATATAGTAGATGAAAATTACACAAAGTACATTAAGTTGGACCACACATCACTTCTCATCATCAGCCTGGCGTGTTCATAACTCCGGAGTAACGCTTATGGGCCACCTTTGTAGCCTTGTGTCCACAAGTTGTAATTAGGGTGGGTTCTCCTCCTTCCAACTTTCTACTTCCATCCAATTTTCAATTTTTCATCCTCAATTAATCATGTGGCTTGCCTTTGTTCATTTTTTCTTTTATGACCTGGAGATGATGTTCTACAAGACAATATTTCTAAAATAATATTTAATAGTGAATTTTATCATATAAAAAAAAGAAGCATATTTGGTTCTCAATAATATTTAATAGAGCATTTAATTATTCGTTATTCATTATATGATGAGATGGTGTTATCTCATTTGCCTCACAAAAAGAACGGTTTGGATCCAAGAATTCGGTCTTAATTAAAAAATATATATATATATATATTTGAAACAAAGAAAAGTTTCCACGGTCATGCTGTTTCGTTCTTTTTCCAACATCTTAGGCTATGTTTGGTAGGATGGGTTTGAAGGGGGAGGATAACATTAGTTATAAGGGAAAGGGAAGGAAAGGGAAGGGAAGGATAAGTTTAATCCTCAATCGTGTTTGGTTGATTAATGAAGGAAAAGAAAGGGAAGGATAACAATCATGTTTGGGAAAAGAAAGGAAAGGGAAGGATAATAAAAAATTTACTATTATGCCCTTTATATATTTTAACAGATAAATTTTTAGATTTAAATATGCAACAATATTTTTGCCCCAAGATTCGGTTCTAAGGCTCAGTTTGGTAGCAAATGCCACATTCATCTTCTCTTTCCAAATCAATATTTCAAAACTCAACAGCACTTAACTAATTTATGCAGTGGTATTGAGGCTAAGCAACCCAACTCTGCCATGAGAAAATCTGCTCGTGTGCAGTTGATTAAGAATGGGAAGAAGATCGCTGCATTTGTACCCAATGATGGTTGCTTAAACTATATTGAGGAGAATGTAAAAGTCTTCGACAAAACTAGTGTAGATCTTCTTTAATTGCTTGCTTTGTGTTGTAGGACACAAAGTAAGCTAAATCTTATAAAAGGAGCCGGCTCGAGTAAAAGTGGAGGAGGCTCCAATATGAATGGAGCAGGCTCTACTTTAAGTAGAGGAGGCTCCAATATGAGTAGAGCAGGCTCCCAAAATGGGAGGCGGCTCCTTTCAAGAAAAATTATTCTGGGAACCAATTTTATGTCATGTTAGGTGGCAGAAGTAAAACAAAGAAAAAGAAATGCAATTTACCCAAAAATAAAAAATAAATAAATAAAATGTAACTCACTTTTATTCCTAAAATGAAGTTGAAATAACATTCATACTCAAGAGCACAAATGAATTTCCTATTAAAAGTTTGATTTCCTTCAACAAAAAAGATGATAAAATCGACAAAACAATAATAAAGTCAATGAAATAATCATATTGGTAAGTACTGAAACAATCAACAGATCGCATAGAAAACCCAATTACTAGATCTTCCTTCAAGTAAGTAACAACAGAGAAAAGTAAAAAAATGATCATTAATTTAATCTTTAAATTTGGCTTCTTACTTTTTTGGGTGAGGGGTTTGATCACAAATGTAATCAATGATGATCAACAATATAAAACAGTAAGTTAGGTTCTTTCTGACTTTATTTATAAAAAAAAAAAACTTAACAACCCAAGGCATGAAGTGGATCAAACATACAGATCCACCAATTTCTTGCAAATAATGACCCCAAATTAGGAAGTGCCAAGATATAATGGGAATAGGACACTTAAAGGGAGCCGGCTCAACCATAATCATGGAGCCGGCTCTTATGGGTTTTTGAGAAGTGCCGAGTGGAGCCGGCTCTTCCTTTTTGTAGAGCCGGCTCCACATTTTTTTTGGAGCCGCCTCAAGTAATTGCTGGAGCCGGCTCTCTTGGGCAATTGAGAAATCCCGAGAGTTGGTGTATGCAGGCCAATAATACAGGCCCTAATATGAAGAGCAAATTTGAGGGTAAAATTGGCTTAACAAATATTTTGTATGCCATTGCCTGCCATTGCCTTCCCTTTCCTTCCTTATCCTCCCAATTTTGGAAGGTTAAAAAATTACTGTACGTTGCTTATAAATAACCCTCCAAACCCCTCCCTCTCCTTCCCTTTCCCTCCACTAACTTTACCCAAACACAATTTTTTTATAACCCTCCATCCCCTTCCCTTCCCTTTCCCTTCAAACCCATCCAACCAAACTGACCCTTAGACTCACAGGTGAGTTTTGCTTGTAACTGTAACCAATAAAAATTCCTAGGGACCTTCTCTTCATCAGCACCTCTCTCTCTCTCTCTCAAAAGCACATCTTCTTCTTCTCCTCCTCTATCTTTTGCTCGTTGTTTGTCATCCAGATCCTATATTCACTTCTGAACTTCATACCCCAAAAAAATGCCAATTTCAAGAAAACCAGTGGACACATTCCAAACTGTGCTGAGGCGTGTAAACGAATTCATCAAAAAGATCCAAACACGCGCCACTGAAAGCACACAAACCCACCCCGTTTCTTCCGAGATCCAAATCCTCTTCACCGAAAGCAACCAAACAGACCCTGTTCATTCCCTTCCTTCCGTTGACCCTGTTTCTTCCCTTACTTCCGAGATCCAATCATACGCCACCGAAAGCAACCAAACTGAACCTGTTCCTTCCCTCACAAAGATCCAAAACGACCTCAAAGATATCGAAGATCTGATAGCTAACTTCAAGCATTGGGAAGATGACCTCATGAAAGAATTCATTTCTTTGGGACAAGTCATTGGGGATGACCACGAAAAAAATATGTTGGAAAATGGTACCCAGAAAGACATCAACGGCAAGCTCAGTTCCATCCACGAAAAGCTCAAAAGCATCAAGAAAATGCTGCCAGCCACTCAGACATCGTTAAAGCAGCCAGTCCCATCGGAGACTCCGGCCCAGATGGTGTCTAATGAATGGTTAAATTTGAAACTGGAGGAGAACATTCTAGTTTCACCGTCAATTGCTAATCTTCAGCTGAGTTATGATGTTCTTGAGACACAATTAAAGCTCTGTTTGCTCTGTTTCACAGTTTTTCCCGAGAAAGCTGTTATCAAGAAAAGGCCATTGATTCACTGGTGGATTGGCGAAGGTTTGGTCACCAAGTCCAAAGACAAGACCGCGGACGAGGTAGGTGAAGAAATCTTTGAGAAGCTGGTCAAGATAGGTTTATTACAGCGAAGTTTCAAGAACAAGGACAAGAACAAGAAGAGTCCCATTGTGGATAGCTGCACTATGCATCCTTGGATTCGCCGTATGCTTGTACCTGTGGCCAGAAGAGCTCAGTTCTTCGATTTCAATCCTGCCGGAAAAATCGCTGATGATTACACCGAATCTAACTCTCATCGCGCCTGCTTAGTTTCCGGTAATCGAGGCTTATCGGGTATTACTAGCTCTAATTCTAATTCTAATTCTAGTTCCAACCCTAACCCTAGCTCAAACTCCAACTCTAACTCAAATTCTAACACTAACTCTAACTCTAACTCGACCGATGAGTTGTTAACCATTTTCAATGTTGACGAGCACTATCTTAGTTTTGAGAATGATTTGTTTTCCAAATTCAAGAAGCTTGCGATTCTACACCTGGGAAGGTGGCAAAACTCAGCTAAGCACCATATTGAAGTGGAAGATGACAAGTTCTTGAAAGAGTTGCAGGCTCAGAAGCACTTGAGGTATCTTAGCCTTCAAGGGATGTCAAGAATCACAGAAATACCTCCTTCGATTTTTGAGTGCATCAACCTTGAAATTCTGGACCTCAGGGCATGTCACAATTTAGAGACATTGCCTGATGATATCTCGCGGCTGCGGAAGCTCACGCACTTGGATGTATCCGAGTGTTACTTGCTAGAAAAGATGCCAAAGGGGCTCGAAAACCTCTCCTCATTGCAAGTGCTCAAGGGCTTTGTTATAGGACATTCAAAGAAAAAACCTGACCTCACTAAGTTGGTGAGATTGAGGAAGCTGAGCATACATATTGGGGATAAAGCTTATAAACATGAAGGGGAGCTCAGTGAGTTGAAGGACATTGTATCTCTTCGTGTCCTAACAATATCATGGAAGATGGAAAAACCAAGCGAGCAATCAAGCAGCAAGACAAAAACCGGAGGTGGAAGATCACGTTCTCTACAGAGAAAGAAAAGCACCAAATTCACTAGAGCTGCAACGTCGACTATGAAACCTTTCTCATTGCCTCCAAATTTGGAGAAACTGGATCTTAGGTGCTTTCCTAAACCAGAGTCACCAGAATGGTTAAAGCCTAGCTGCCTGGAGAATTTAAAGAAGCTGTATATAAGGGGAGGGGACCTTGAGACATTGAATTCTGAGACGGATAAGAAGTGGAAAGTTGAGATTTTGCGTTTGAAATATCTGAGGAACTTCAAGATAGAGGTCTCGGAGAATGTGTTTCCTGATCTGAAATACTTTGAGAAGTTCAAATGCAACCAGATTAATGAATCTGATGAGAAAAAAGAACTTCCTATAAATGAGCGTCGTCAAAATGACAAGGATGTTGAGTGGGAGAAAGAGGAGGGATGGAACGCACTCACAGCACAGCTAGCCAAAGAGTGATCAACTGAGTTGCTATCCTCTCGTGCCTCCTCTTCTAGTTTCATTGGCCTTCTTGTGTGGATGTTATATATTGTGCCTGCTAAATGCTTAGTAGAACAATTGCTATTAGTACTACTACTAGTCTGTTGTTGTGTGTAGCTAATGTACACTGAATTTCACTACTCACTTCTTTACCCTTCCAACTGATGTTTTCCATCCACCTCTCTCTCTCTCTCTCTCTCTCTCTCGCTCTGGAGGATTTTACTTCCTGTCTGTACATTATTATGTTATATAATTCCGTATTTATTTACCTATTTCTCATCTACTTATTTTCGTAATTTTAGTCTTGGGCTAAATTAAATATAAATCCACAAAATTTTCATTCGACTCATTCTAAGTAATAAGAAACTGGTTGTAACCCCATTGGTAGAAGTGGATTGTTCAGCAATATTTGCAATGACAGTAACAAAAAACAACAGAAGAGGATTTGAGTTTACAGGCTCCCTTGCGAAGACCATCCTTGGAATTATCAAATGATGCTTTCGAAATCAACCTCAAAGCGGAGATTAGAGCCCCTGATGCAGCCAAACCAGCCAGGAATGACTGAAGAAGTCCAAAGAAGAAGATTTTCAAATCTCGCAACCAAACGGTTCAGTACGCCAAACAAAACTTTTAACATGAAATAAGACAACTATAGATACCAACTTGAATGAGAGAACTCAGGTAGCATGAATGAGAGTTATCCAACCATCCCACCCTGAACATGAGCATCTGCGACTCCAAAAACACCACTAATAGCACATAGGCGAATTTAAGTTCCAATTCCTCCTTTCCCAAATGTAGCTAAATCCAACTATAGTAGGATAACAAAAAGTAAGTTAAAATGAAGTCAAATAAATGATCAACTATCAGCATTGAAATTACTAAAGTTTGTCTTAAAACAGATATGTAGTTTTTGGAAACCTGAAAGATGTAACATAAATCAATAAGAAATATCCGTTTATATACATGAACAACGCTTACAATTAGAAAGTGAAGAAACATGGACACGGGACACGAGTGATACGTCAAATTCTAAAAAGTAAGGCATCGAATACAACGATTAATATAAATATAAATTATTTATATATCTATTGAATGATACAATCTTAGAACTTTAATTAATTATAAATTATATATTAAAGTTACATAAGTTAGAGGCTGACGATATTCGAATATATAAATATTCGTGTATATATATATGTGTGTGTGTTACATTATATATAATATTACTATCATATCTTGTTATTATAGTTATGTTTTTATTTTTGAAAGATTGAACAATTTAATATATGTTCATAATGTTATTTTCAAGACTGTCGTGTATCCATTTTATATAAGATAGAGTATAGAATGTGTTGATCAAGCGTTCGAAATATATGATTAAGTGTCTGATTTAATAAAATTTATTTTTAAATAATGGACACTGCCATAAAGTGTCAGACATATATTTAAGAATGTCTACAAAATGTCGGTGTGTGAGACGAACATAACACCTCATAGAAGTATCCATGCATCTTAGTTAGAAAGTTAATTGAAATATCAACTACTCCAGATAGCAAGTTGCTTTACTATTATACCTACGTTGTCACTGTAATTATTAATATATCCAGCTGAGTTTTAGTGTTCTTGATAATCAGTTGAACCTTTGTTTTCCCAATTTTTCAGAGGAAGAGGTTAAAGAAACAAAAAACCATTGATTTGCTGGTGAATTGGTGAATGTTTGATCACGAATTCAAAGACGAGTGTGGAGGAGGAAGGCAAAAACGTCTTTTTGAAAGCTCAATAACATAAAAAGAATCGCATGATGATTTAAATAAAAGATTACAGACCATAATTATTTCAAGAAAAGTCATTAGCAATATTTTTAGCGTTAAAATTTTTTATTTACAAAAAAAAAAATAAACATAATCGGGTTGCTCAGCCCATCCGACCCGAACTCGGAATTGAGACGTTTGGTCAACACTCGAGATAGATTCAAAAGGAAGATACTCTTACATGAAAGTAATAACTTAATTTGGTACAATGGAAATGGGGGGAAAAGAAAAGAGAGGATATGGAAGAAAATAAAAAATTGTGTTTGGTATAAAAATGTTGAATGTTTAAGGAGAGGGAATGGTGATTGGAAGGAAAGAGCAAAGCCTAAACCATAACTTATCCTTTCATTTTTTGGGAGGAAAGGAAAGGGGAGGCTAATGTGATTTTGTAAATACGGAATTTACCCTTACTTTTGACCGGGTGGTATAATAGCCATGATATTTTGACAATTATACTATTTAGGTTAGTCAAAAGCTTTTTCATATGCTTCAGGTTCTGCTTCTTCAAGCTAGTTTAATTTTATTATAAACGGTTTTTTTTGGCTCTTGTAACATCACTGCATTTTTATTATCCAGATTATTGTAATATATCACATGGTCAATTATTTTACTGCTAAGTATTCATATGTACTTCTAACAATTACAGATTATACAGGTGGTCACTAATGGCAAATACAAGATTGTGTTGCACCGTGTGATTACTGAAACAGACGGTGACCAGATGTTGATAGCTTCTGCTGATTTTCCAAACTCAGCTTTTGACATAGATGCTTTGTTTTGGGTTCCTTCTGATCAGAGTTCTGAGTTGGTTTGTCAAGAGATTAGTAATGGGCTCATTTTTATTTTTATTTTTTAAAAATTTAGTTACCAAAATTACATACTTAATCCTATAAATTTATCTTTTAAAATATATAAAAATATATATTAATAAATTCATTAAAATAGTATCATTTTTTTCTTTTTTTTATTATCTTTTTCCAGGAATATTATCTTTTTCTTTCATTTTTCTTTATCATTTAACAAAAAATTGATCACAGGTTACAACTATCATTTCTTTTTCCTTTCTTTTTCATGTACCAAAATAGCCTAAGAATTGAAGTGTCAGTTTATCATCTCATTGGAGGCTGGAGCATGAGATGACTTGAAGACGACTTTTACCTAAAATTCTTCCTCAGCTCTCACTTCCTTTCCTCCCTCTTTCCTTGTATTTTCGTGATCGAATCAACATTTTATACCCGTTCGGACCTCTTCATCAACACCTCACTTTTTCTCTCTCAAAAATCTATCTTCTTACTTCTTCTGATCTTCAAACCCTTAAAAAAAAATGCCATATCGAAGAAAACCAGTGGACACCGTCCTAATTCTGTTGAGCAACGTAAACGAAGTCATCAAACGCGCCACCAATAGCAACCAAGCCGATGCCGTTCGCTCTCTTCTTCCTCGCTTCACAATGATCCAAAATGAACTCAATCAAATCAAAGATCGATTTCCTGAATTCAACACTTGGGAAGAGAACCTCATGAATGAGTTCAAATCTTTACATGAAGACATCGGCGATGATATCTTCGAAAATGGTACCCAGACAGACAAGATCGACGACAAGCTCAAATCCATCGACGACAAGCTCAAAAACATCAAGAGCTTAGTCGACAAGCTGCCCACCCCAGATCTCACACTGTCAGAGCAGCGAGCTCTGTTGGAGAAGCAGGACCGGAAGGTGTCTAATGATTGGTTGGATCTGAACGTGGAGAAGAACATTCTTGTTTCTCCGGCAATCGCTAATCTTCAGCTGAGTTATGATGTTCTTGAGATTCAATTGAAGCTCTGTTTGCTCTGCTTGGCAGTTTTTCCCGAGAAAGCTGTTATCAAGAAAAGGGCATTGATTTACTGGTGGATCGGCGAGAGTTTGGTCACCAAATCCGGAGAGAAGACGGCGGAGGAGGTAGGCAAAGAAATCTTTGCGAAGCTGATCAAGAAAGGTTTGATACAGAAAATTCCCAAGAACACAAAGAGTCCCATTATCGATTGCTGCAGAATGCACCCTTGGATTCGCCGTATGCTTGTATCTGTGGCCACAAGAGGTCAGTTCTTCGATTTCAATCATACCGGAGATATCACCCATGACTACACCAACTCCCGTCGGGCCTGCTTAGTTTCGGGTAATCAAGGTTTTACCGGTAATACTAACTCTGATTCTAATGCTGATGCTAATTCTAACACTAACTCGACAGAGGTGGAATTGTTAACCATGTTCAATGTTGATGAGCACTATCTTAGTTTTCCGACTGATTTGTTTCTTAAATTCAAGAAGCTTGTGATTCTACATCTGGGTAGGTGGCAGAACGTAGCTAAGCACCATATTGAAGTTGAAAATGAGGAGTTCTTGAATGAGTTGCGGAGTCAGAAGCACTTGAAGTACCTTAGCCTTCAAGGGATGTCAAGAATCACAGCGATACCTTCTTCGATTGTTGAGTGCGTTAACCTTGAAATTCTGGACCTCAGGGCATGTCACAATTTAGAGAAATTGCCTAATGATATCTCTCCGCTGGGGAAGCTCACGCACTTGGATGTATCCGAGTGTTACTTGCTTGAAAGCATGCCAAAGGGGATCGAAAAGCTCTCCTCATTGCAAGTGCTAAAGGGGTTTGTTATAGGGCATCCCAGACAAAATCCTTGCAAGTTGGGGGACCTTGCTCTTTTGAAGAGACTGAGGAAGCTGAGCATACAAATAGGGAGTGAAGCTACTGTCCATGAAGCGGAGCTCTGTAAGCTGAAGGAAATTGTAGATCTTCGTGTCCTGACGATATCATGGGGAATGGTGGTTGAACCATCCGCACCAATCCAGCAATCAATCACCGGGACAAACTCCGGTGGTGGAGGAGCACCTCCGCAACAGAAAAAGTTGACTAAAACTGCGACAATGACTATGAAATCTCTCTCATTCCCTCCAAAGTTGGAGAAACTGGATCTTAGGTGCTTTCCTCGACAACTGTCACCAGACTGGTTAAAGCCTAGCAGCCTGGAGAATTTAAAGAAGCTGTATATAAGGGGAGGGGAACTTGATAGTTTGACTCCTGAGACAGGTAAGAAGTGGAAAGTTCAGATTTTGCGATTGAAATATCTGAGGAACTTCAAGATAAAGGGCTCAAATCTGAAGGATGAGTTTCCTGATCTGAGATACTTTGAGAAGATCAAATGCAACCAGCTAAATAAATCTCAGAAAAATGAACCTCCGATAAATGAGCGTCAATATGACGAGGATGTTGAGTGGAACAAAGAGGATGGATGGGACAAACTTGAAGCAGAAAGTCCAGATTTTGTGGAAAATCCTGATCATGTGAATGTGAATGTGAATGATGAAATTGTGTGACTTGGAGATAGAGGGCTCATATATGCAGAACGCGGTTCCTGGTTTGAGATACTTTGAGAAGTTCAGATGCAACCAGATAGATGGATTTCAATATGAAGAGGATGTTGAATGGAACAGAAGTGTGGATCGATGGGTTGCAATCACAGGCAAACGCTGATCAACGGAGTAGCTATCCTCTCGTGCCTCTTCTTCTAGTGTCATTGTCCTTTTTATGGATGCTACTAAGCATTTAGCAGTAGTACTGCATGTCTGCTATGTCTGTGTAACTTATGTATGGTGGCTTTCAATATATATATATATATATATATATATATATATATATATATATATATTCAATGAATATAGAAATCCACTCTTTATAATGGGTACATAGACGTGTCATGTAAGTCGGTATTTTTATTTGCCATACCATCTAGACTTGCTAGGCAGACCTTTAACACCCGTTCACAAAAATGATCATGGATTGCTCTCAAGTTTATATTAAATCCTGTGTGTTAGTCATGTTAACCTTTGTCAGTCCACAGCCATCCAAAGTAACTCAACCTGTGATCCAATTGGTCTCATCGGTCAACATGGACTGCTAGGTTTTCCATTGAACCAAGCCTTTTGACTATAGCCTTAACGCATAAATCAAAACATAGTAATGAATAACAATTACACAAGAACTGAGAGCCTAAAAGATACTGCCCCATTTTCATCCCACTCACCACTAAATCTGTTTAAACACACAGATGCATTTTTTCTCATGCCATCTCAATAAAAAAGGTTACCCAGTTCCCCATTTGCCCCTGGACAGACTCAATAAATCGGGGCTATTGAGACAGCTTCAAGACCTTTTGCTCAGCTTTCAAAACCCATGACATTTATCCAGTAAGGGCATCAGGTATAAGAACAAAAGTGTGACAATCAGCATAGTGAAAATTTGTTTTACAAGAAGGATTCACATAACATAGAACAGCTTTAGACAAAATAAAGACTGTAAATCAATTACTGTTCAAATAATCTTTCATTCTTTTCAAGAATAAGCTGTACACCACAATTTAAACTTACACTAAATTAGCAACACTTGGTCCTGTACTTTCATCAAGTTGTACCAGAAGACAATCCATTTTGCCATCCTTTCAAGAATCACCTTCTGGAAAAACAATACATTTGCAGTCTTTCCTGTCCAAACTAGAATAAGAAGAATCCTTGTCCGGAGATCAGCTAGACTTAATTCTCACCAACCTTTTCCTATGAGCCACAACCAGTCAAGTGTTACCCCAGCAAATATACCTCCTAAAAGAAAGAGCACAAGTATATTCCCCAAGGCATTTTGTTCCGGACCCTACAAAACCAGAATTCCATAAAATTTCTGCCAAAACGCTATTTCAAAATTTAAGAAATTGATACTTTCAAGTATGACCTAGAAAACAAACCTTATAACCTTTGGGAGCAGAAGTAAGGACACAGACTGTAAGGTAACCGTTAGTTAATCCCAAGAAGGATGTCAACATAATCATCCAACCTTGGTCACCATATTTTGCAGTGAAATAGAATGCAGGGACGAGCAAAAAACGAGAAAGGATAGCTATCATGAGTCCTTTCCGTGATTCCAACTTGATGCATTTCAGGAGTGGAATGTATCTCCCAATAAGATCCCACACATTATACATGGCTATCAGAACAAGTGCATACCTTAAATATGACCAAATTACCAGATATCAGAATATCAATATAGAAAGGGAAAAAAAAAAAAAGAGAAGAGAGGGAAAGAGACTTCAATAAATTATTGGTAAATTAATTAGACAGGTGGTTGTGATCGTACCATGCACCCAAGCTATGTGATCCGGTATCTTCAGATAAAAATCCAGGAAAAATTGACAGTGTCAATACATATATCAGAAACATATCTAGAGCATAATCTATATTTTGAAAGAACAACTCTTTGTTGCTCAATCTCTCCAGTTGTTTAGGATTTTCTTCAACCTGCAAAATATTTCCATAATAAGAATCAATCAGTTTTACCAGAAATATCTAGTTCCATATCCTCGGTCACAAAAATCGAAAGAGACGCACCTCTTGGGGTTGTGCATAAATGCCACCAGCCGCAAGATCAGCTGAAACAGTTTTGGATCCTTCTGAGGCTGCCTTCGAGCGGTAGTACTTCACAATTGGTAGCTTTGGGAAGACAAATCCATAGAGAAGAACACAAAGCAACTCAAAAAATGCAGAGATGGCAAAGAATAAAACTGCAAGGGACAAAAATACAGAATCTGTAGTCAGTAAGACAGTATAAAAGATACAAAAAAGTCCAAATTGGTCTCAAGTAGAAAAATTTTAAATCAATCTCTAGCTATAATGGTGGATGCATATAAGCATCGAGTTATATGTACGAAGAATATGTATATGTGCATGTATATATGTATTCGAGTATCTCTGTGTAAACATATATATGATATTTTTTATTAAAATGGTATTGACGAACTAATTGTTGAATTAATTAACACAAACGTTGCTGTGAATAAAACTGACTATAGAAGTTTCTATAGTGCTGCAAATATTAACCTGTGAGAGTAAGAGTAGCGACTTTGTACAATTAACGCTAAATGTGCGTTTGCATCCTGTCAATCCCCAGCACCTTAATTAATGGGGACTACATAGGGTAATGACACTTTTAATTAACCTAACCCAGTGTATAATACAGGAACACCACAACAGCAATAACTGTCTGTACCTAAGGGTCATAAGATTATACAAATGCGTATATCAGTAAAAAAAGCTACAAATTGCTGGCTATTAAATTCCAGGATTCTTGCAAACATTAACCTGATAGGGTGAGAATAGTCACTTTGGGCAATTAATTCCTAAGGTGCGTCTGCATCCTGAAAATCCCCAGCACCCTTAATGGGGTCTACACTAGGTAATGACACTTATAATTAACCTAACCAAGTGTATAATAGTGAAACGCCACAACAACAATAACTGTTTGTGGCAAAGGATCATTAGATTATATAAATCGATAGATCCGTAACAAAGCTACAAATATGCTGGCCAGCTTTGGTGATTTTATTGGACAAATGTATATATCAGTAACAAAACTACAAACAAGCTAGCCGTCTTTTGTGGATTTTATAATGTACCACCATAGAAGATTTCAGGTATGTATAAATATGCCTGAAATGTTATTTATTGTTAAAAGACCCTTGCCAAACGAAATTAATGACAGCACAACCATCAAAGAAAGTGATTTCTAGTACATCTCATTTGTAATCAGGTATATTATTTCTTCTGTATTTCTAATTAATAAATAACAGTTTCGATCATTAAGCTATACCATCCTCTATCTTACAAATTTCAGCAAAGATATGCAATCAGGGCTGTAATAGCAGTCAATATCCAGGACAAACATTAAGTAAATTCTGAAGAACAAGCAAATAAAGTGAAAGCAGGATACTTGGTGTGGGAAGAGATGTTAAATGAAGTATAAGTTGGGTGCAATGGACTACGGACTACCTAATGAGATTTTGAAAACAACCTGGCCTATAAAGAAAAGAAAACCTCTATGTTGTTATTTCAGTTCAAAACAATAAGAAGAAGCATTATTTACATATTTCTCATCTACTTACTTTCAAAATTTTAGTCCTTGGGCTAAATTATATGCGAAAATTTTATTTTACTCATGCAAGTAATAAGAAAACTTTGACCCCATAGGGAACAGTAGATTGTTCAGTAATATTTGCAATGAAGGTAACAAAAAACAACAGAAGGGGATTTGATTTTACTGGCTCCCTTGCGAAGACCATCCTTTGAATTATCAAATGCTGCTTTCGTAATCAACCTCAAAGCAGAGGTTAGAGCCCCAGATGCAGCCAAACCAGCCAGGAATGACTGAAGAAATCCAAAGAAGAAGATTTTCAAACCTCGTAACCAGACAGTTGAGTAAGCCAAACAAAACTTTTAACATGAAATAAGAAAACCACAGATACCAACTTGAATGAACACAGGTAGCATGAATGAGAGGTCTCCAATCATCCCACCCTGAACATGGGCATCTGCAACTCCAAAAGCACCACTAATAGCGCATATTCCAATAAAAGTTCCAATTCCTCCTTTCCCAGATGTAGCTAAATCCAACTATGGCAGAAGAATAAAAAATGAATCAAATTGAAGTCAAATGATTAATAATCTGCATTGAAATTAGTAAAGTATGTCCTAAGAAAGACCTGTAAATATTGGAAAAATGAAAGATGTTATATAAATAAATAAGAAATATCTGTACATAAATAAACAGTACTTACAATTAGAACCATAAGAGAACTTATGAAGAAAATGATATATCCAAACAGATTCCGTTGTCTAGTGTTGATCTTTGCCTCATTGTATGCCAGTATTGCAAGTGTTCCAAGGGCAAATGGTTGATATACAAGAGTAAGCACCCTCGACGGGTGGTATCGCTAAAAATGAAAAGAAATTCTCCATTAAACAACAACAACAACAATAGCATCAACAACAGCAATAAAAACAACAAAAAAATTCCATTACCCATACCAATAACTACCCCTGTTACTCGAGACACTTCCAAGAGAAAGAATGATCTGAAGGCCATATATTATAGTTTGACATTCAAGGGAAGAAAATAATCAGAATATTGTGAATTTGATGGCAAGAATTTTAAAAAGGTTTTTTCGGGTTGACACAAATATATATATATATATTCCTGAATGACATAAAATATATATTTATATAAAATAATAAATTTCAGTAAGTCAGAAATACATGGAAAATTCTGAAATTTATCAATGTTTACAAGATAATCATGAATTGCCCAATAAATAAATCAGCATCACAATGGCCCAATTTACTCACTTTAACATATCCTTTTACGGCCAAAGCAACATGGGACATCAAAATTAGAACAACAGAGGGAGCTTTGTGAAAAGGATAGTACAAAGCCCAGCAGGTTTGATCTACAACAGGTGCAGGATACAGGTAGGTTTTAAAGTTCACAATCAATGTTAAAAGCTTATGATAGCAAATGTGAGAACACACTCCAGGTATGAGGACAGCTAGGTTGCCCAAATAATGCCAAAAATAAGGTTTGTATCTAGTCCATCCTTCATATCACCCTTGATGAATGATCTTTAAGTTTATGGTGTCATGCTTAGAGACAGGAATGAGCGACTATCTAGTACACTGGTTGAAATTATTCACATTATGAAATGGGGGCGACACTATGCTTGAGGTGGTAGAAAGAAGATGATGGAATAACAAACAATCATACACACACACATATATATGTATGAAGAACAAATAGATATAAGTTATCAAGGAAAGTTGGGATTATGTGTAAAGTACAACTAACTGCAGCAAAACTATAAAATTAGGCATGCAAGTCAAATAAAAGAAGAAAAAAAAAAATCCAGACACAAGAGAAAACAATTACCGGGAACAATTTAACATAGTAATCTTCTATTGTAAGCATACTGTTCCATGAAAAAAGGCATCCATTTCCGAGAAGCCAACACACAATCATTGCAGCATACTTGCCCTGCCAATAGGGTAAAATTCACATCAGATTTTCATTCGAAGAAATAGATAGATAGTTTCCAATATCTTCCACCTATAAAATTCTTTTTCACCGAGGTTAAGGAATCAATAGGTCTAATCACAAACCTCAAGTTTGACTGGAGCCCCATTTTCATAATTAATAGCCATTGCTGCTTCCTTTCAACAAGCTCCTACAGATGATAAAAAAACCATAGCGTTATAATTTACTGAAATAGATAGAACATGTTAAATATATCTCAACTTCACATAAACCTAAACAAAAAAAGTAGATACAATTAAGTATGCATCTGCAACCCCCACGATCATATATGCGTGTGTTCAAAATTTAGTGTGAAATTTCATTTTTGAAACTAGCTTAAGAACAAGCCTAATTACAGCACTGAATCATGTTTGCAAATATACAATGCTATCAATTTTTTAATAACAAAACGTTCAAATTCAAATTTAAAAAGGAACGCTATAACAGATCTATCAGAGGGTGAAATATGTAAACACAACGGAAGAAGTAAATTTTTATGTTTCTAAAAGTCTAATACTTACAATAATGAAATTCAGTGAAAACCTAATCAAATCACAGGCAGTCGTATCATCATAAAAAGAAAGTGTACCTTTCCAAAAACAAAGCAAAGAGAGAGAGTGCGAATATTGATAGGTGGGTGAATATGAATGGACGCAATAGAGATTCTTGTGGGATACTGGAATCTGCTTATGACATACATACATATATATATATATATATACACACACACATATTTGTTTTTCTTTCTACCGGCTTTCCCTTTTATAATGACCTACTTCCTTAGCAATTTTTTCTTTCGCATTGCTATTTAAAAAAAAAAAAATACTGATTTAGTGGTATTTGGTTCATTTCTTAATCACATACGAATGGAAATACGGGTCCAAAAAAATCACATACGAATACAATATTAAAACATTAAAATATATATTATTATATATGTAAATAATACTTTTTAGTCATTTTATCTATATAATTATACATTAAATCACTAATATGAAACATAGAACTATATATTTTGTTTCCTTAAAATTTATATTATTTTAATAATTAGTTCTTAATATTTTTAAAAATTGCATTAAATCTCATTGTTTAAAAAAAAAAATTACAAAAAAAGATTAAGTTGTGTCTCGAAAGTGTTCAAAATGTGTTTTTTACTTTATTGGTGAAAGTGTTCAAAATGTGTTTGTATCTTGTCCCAATTATGTGAAATAAAAAAATAAAATATTCAAATTTAAAAATACTTTTAAACACTTCTAAAACTAATCATATTCGACATAGGTTCAATATTAAAACGAGTAGTATATGTTCTCCGTGGTTCAATTACTTTCATAAGTAAAAGTTAAGAGTTTAAGTTTAGTAAAATTTTAATTGTTCTTGTTGAGAAACAAAAATTTTGAATTTTTAAAAGTTAGTGTTTTTGTTTTACGTTCTTCCTAACGAAGCAAACCTTGAATTTTGCACATTTTGCTTTAGATGTGAATTTTTTGGTTTACTATGGGTATTAGTAAATATGAGTGCTATTGGGGTTCACATTACCACGTTTTATAACAGCTGTTTTGGCTCATGGGTTTCACCAATAATTCAAGGGATCCAAAAAAACAACAACAAAATAAGTCTAATGGCCAACGTATACTAGTCAATCAGTTAATAAGTAAAAGCAACTGATAAATATATATATATATATATGTCAAGTGGAGTTTAAGAGATTAATATTTGCAGTAACACAGTGGACACTCGAGGAATTAACAAATCATGATTGAATCGGAGCCTTGATGACACAATATGAATCCGACTACCGACAATATATATATATATATATATATATATATATATATATATTTATAATGTCATTATAGCATTTCTTTTTGTAATATTATTTTTGTTGACTATAGCAGTCAGTTTATTGATACTGATAACGTTATCTTTTCTCTAATTTTGCTATGTCATATTCTTCTAATTAGAAAAGAGATTAATCGCACATACACAGTTTAATCATATTAATCTAATCTTGATTTAATGTGTTAATTTGTACAATTTTGATGTAATTAAAAAAAGTCAAACTCTCTCATCCTAGGAGGGAAAATAGGATCCTAATACTAATAATTTTGTATACTTAGTCAGCAGATCCTCTTATCCCTTAAAATCTACTAACCAATGAAAGAGCGCCACGTCTAAGTTTATCCAATATATTTTACCTAATTTTTCTTTCTTAATTAGTATATTTATGTGAAGTGTTACAACTTAGTTTGATCAATCAATTGGCAACCTGTATTGACTTCAAGGGTCACGGCGCCAACTTTTCTTTCCTATTATTAGGATACCGTTCACATGAGCACATATATATATATATATATATATATATTTTTAACGTTTTTAATTATTGCAATTTGTTATTAATCATCATTCTGAGGTGTGAACATTCACAGATTCATTCACATGATTGAAGCAGCAGTGGTTGCTATCTGTGTAAAAATAATCCATCTATTAAAAAAAAATACACACGCATATTGTTAATTTGTTCACACAATTATCTCAAGATTCTATAATTGAATATTTGAAATTGGTAAGGCACCTGTCTATTCAATCCCGTTTAATAGTTTTTGTTAGTGATCGGAGAATTTTACCCCATCTTTTGCGAAAATATTATTTTATCCTTGTACATTATATTATATACAAATGATCCTTTGTTAAAACAATGTTAACTTTGATTTGGTTAATTTAATACAATTGTGTAAATTTTGGAAGAATATATATTTCTAAATATGAGTTTTTAAAACTTGAATGGAAAATTTTGATTAAAAATGTGATTTTTTAAATTATATGAGATAATGAGAAACTTAAATGGGTGGAGTAACGAAGGGCGAGAATTCTTGCCAACTATTTTGGATGAAGAAAAAAAGAAAGAAAGAGTTATGCTCCAATTGGTAGAATGGAAACAATATAGATGGAATGGAGAGAAGAATGGATAAATGAACTATGTCCTAAGAAAAAGAGTGTCTTTCCGTTTTTTTGTTTGGTTAGATAAAAGAAAAGGGAATATATATCTCATTTTGTTTGTTAAAATAAATAAATAATAAATAAAAAAAGCTAAACATAAGGAAAGTTTTATAATTAAAAAACATATATAAATTTATAATAATATTATCTTTTTTCCTTATGTCTTATGCCCAAATTTAGAGAAGATAAAAATGTATAAAGGCAGAAAAATGACCCATCCATCCTCTTTAATTTCTCTTCTCTCATTCTCCTCTATGCCAGACGAATGACGTTTGTTTTTCCTTTCTATCTTTCATCCACTCCTCTTCCTTCTTACAACAGAGCATTAAGATTTGAAGTTCCAACTGAGACAAAAAGTTAAAAACAAACGTGCATATACTTTTAAGGAAAAACAAAATAAAAATAGGCTTTTTTAAGAATCTTGGGCTTAAAACCTTGCTCAACCACATCTTTAAAAAATTGTGGCTTGTGAGACAATCGGGCCGGATTAAGAATTTTGGGCTTAAAACCTTAAACCTTCTTGCTGAACCGAAGATATGTATTACTACTATTCAAACTTGAGCACTTATCCTGCACTGACTCTAACATGCCAGAATTTCTCCACGCTATAGGAAGTATGATGAGAAATTAATTTTATTGATAATTAAATTTTTTTAAAAATTAAACTTTCGGCTGAATTTTAAAAACACATATCAATCAAAATTCTGGTTTAATTTTGATTTAATTTGAATCCAATCTATATGATCTAGTAAGCTCGATTCAACCTTGGTGCTTAATCGCTTGTGCAAGTAACCAATGGACAGAGCTTTCTCAATCAAATCCCTTTGATTTTTCTACTACATTTTCATTTGCATTGCCTTCGATATAACCAGCTAAATGATACATGTAAATTATATTTGAAGTTCATATTAGATTCGATGCTAGTTCTACCAATTTATTTTATACCTAATTACGGTTAAGTGAATCTCACCAAGTTTGAAATGGATTTTTTAAAAGAAAATTTATTTCAGATCCATTTTAAAATTTGGATATTACTACATTCCCGAGTTGCAAAAAGAGCTATGCTAACCACACTAGCACTACCCAAAATGTAGCAGCCCTTTCGGTAAAAAAATGTATCTGAATTGATATAAATAATGAATGTTGATATATCTCTCACACACAGTTACTAGGTAACTGGTGCTCTCTCACACACAGTTACTAGGTAGCTGGTACTCTGGCAATTCCATAAAAAAAAATAAAAAAAATAAAAAAACATAAATAATGAATGTTGTAGCTTTTAGATGTTGTCCCATGTAGAAGAAGGCCCACACTGTTGGTCTACACTCCCATTATACAATGAAAACACAATGATTTTTTTAATTTTTTTATTATTATTATTATTTTTTTATCTGCATGGAGAATTGGCGTGAGAAGTGCAATCATCATGTGATTGCATGTCTCTCTCTGTCTTTTCCTCTCTCTTTCTCTCCACCAAACCTCACACCTCGTCTTGCAGGCTAATTCATTCAGGTACTCCTTCCCTCACACACGGTTACTAAAATTAAGCTTTTCGAATTTGTCATATCAGTATTTTTTAATAGTCATATAAGTATTTTTTATAATCACGTCAGCATTTTAGAGTCTTTAAATTTTAGCTATCGCATGTACTCCAATAATATATTTTAGCTCTTTAAAATTTAAATAAATTTATTTTTTAACTTTTTCCTAACGACTATATTTATAACAGCTATATTTATAACGGTTATATTTTTCAATTTGTCAGGAAAATAAAATTTTAAAAAAATTATTTGATTAACTAATATAATAATAAAACGGTTATATTTTATTTTAATGGAAGATACCCAGTTCATGTTGCAGAAAAATTCTTTAATGGAAGATATCCAGTTATAACGTTAATAGGAACATTGAAAATTTTGAAAACGAAAAAAAATCACTTTTTTCTAATTTTTTAAAACTTTTTTTTACCTAAAAAAGCCTTTAAGGCATTGTTTGTGTCAGCCAAACAGTGCCTTAATGGCTATTTGATTCAATTATTTTGAGGGAAAAAAAAAAAAAAATTTAATGGAAGATATCCAATTCATGTTGCAGAAAAATTCCTAAATTTTAATGGAAGATATCCCCCCTCATTTCCTTTAATGGAAGATATCCAGTTCATGCTGCAGAAAAATTCTCAATTTCGACTTGGGTGGACACCAAGGAATAACAATTCGGTTGCTCACATTATCAGTCGATTTGCAATGGCCTCTCAATCTGGTGATGTAAGTTGGGATGTTTGGCCATCCGAAGTGCCGAAGGCTATTGATCTAGATACTCTAGACCATGATGCTTAGTGGGTTGGTTTTGTTTTTTGTTTTCCTTTTTTGTGTTTTCTTAGTTTGTTGGACAGGCAAAAAAAAAAAAAAAAAAAAATGGGTACCCTTTCATGCAATGAGTGAATAGATTTATTGTAGTATTCCCTTTCATGCAATGAGTGAATATATTTGTTGTAGTATTTCTTTGGTTTCTTTAGGCTTTCTCTTGCACCAATGCGTGAAAAGAGAATCCATTTGTATTGTTAAAAGAAGAAGAAGACACACCCACAGTGCACACACACATAAATATATTTGTATGTACGTATTAAAATAGATAAAGGAGATAGTTGCAAGATGGAGCAAGCTTCAAGCAACCGAAAAGCTAGGAAAGGAACGTTCTTCAAAGGCATTTCGAAGTGATGAACCCCCTAAAGCTGT